GTTTACCTACTGGGCTCCTAAGAAATGTTTCTTCGATCCGTCCTTGGAGAGGAGCCTCGCAGAGTGGGCCGGAACTGCAGCTGAAATCTGAGCGTTCGGTTTGGAGAGGGACCTTTGCCCACAGAACCCCGAAATCAAAGGTTTAGGGTTTAGGGTTTAGGGTTTAGGGTTTAGGGTTTAGGGTTTAGGGTTTAGGGTTTAGGGTTTAGGGTTCTCTACCGACTCTACCAGCAAAACTCGCGAGTTCCTGAATCCTCTCCCTTGGCTGACCCTTAACAAGAACCTACAGGTGCACTACATGCTTGCTGATATGTAGAACAGAAAAATGTAGCGTCTATCATACTCCAGTATCTATGTTATGCATACACACCTAATATACAGAGAGAAAGAGAGAGAGAGAGAGAGATAGAGAGAAGAAAAAAACAATGCAGAAAACCATAATACAGCGACGTTGATTGCGGTGCTGTTGCTCATGGCAAATACATACCTAGATAGATCATATGTGCATAATTGTGTATATCTAATATTTATATCTACATCACATAATTATACTCGATTTCTCATGAATATTCCCATAAGACATACCCAACTTGTTCGTCAACCACGCCTTTTCAGCTCTGCCTCCTCGAGCTCTGCAGAGGCTCCCAATATCGCCTCTCAAGGATCTGTCTATATTTATAAAATGTACAATGGGAAGTAATGATATGTGACTGAACCCATTTTGGGTTGTCCAGGATTTAGGGTTGAGATGATCCGATCTGCCCCGGTGGACGAGCTGAACTCACAGACGTTGCAGCTTGATGATACAAAGGCCCTTGGTTTCTTGTCTGACAGGAACCATAACGAGCTCCTGATCATATAGCTTCTGTAAGAAGCTGATTGCAATGATTGCGGCACCCCGTTTACACTGCGCCACGAACAAGGCTTAGCTACGTGTCAGGCCTGAACAAAAAGGCCAGGAAACATTAAGGCGATAAGGTGCAACCCTGACATCAATCTCGCGGAAGTCCGCCAAGCACGTGGAGTTCGGTATGGAGTAGAAGCTTGCGGGTTTGTGCTCTAACCGTAAGCCTTAACCCTAAACCCTAAACCCTGTAAGGCTAAACCCATGGGCCCTAGGGGTATGCCGTATAGAGAAGAAGCTTGAAACTCTCAATCCCTCAACTCCCCTTTGCCTTTAGCCTCAGCCAGAAAAGTTCAGGGGCCTTGGTCAAGGCTGAATACATCGCCAGCCGCATGGCATCGTCCGGAAATGCCTTTCCAGTGCAGTCGGCTGATTGACTTCAGGTTGTAGACTCCCTAAACCCTAAACCCTAAACCCTAAACCCTACTATGTAGACTTTGGGGTGAAACCTTTCGGATTTAGACTCTTGAGTTTCGGGTAGCCAGGTTTCGGGATGTTGAGTTTGGAATCCAGGTTTATGGTGCAGGTTCTGAGCTTTCAAACTTTGCGTCTGGGCGGGCTTAGGGGTGTTTTCTGCAGGGGTCGGAATAATTCCAAGGACACTTAACAAACGCACACCCTTGTAGTCCTGATAACAAAGTCCCCAAAACACGATTCTAGTCAAGGTAATCATCTGAGGCTTGGGGGTGCGCAAGGCTTCAAGGCTTCACGGGGCGGAAACTTTGCCAAAAACCGAAACCCAGGAACCCGAGAAATCCGAACAAGGCCGGCTTCTGCAGGGCCTTCGGCTTTAGGGTTTCAGGTTTGGGTTGCGGGCACACGATTCGGGATTTAAGGTTAGCCATTTTGTCAAACTCATGGGCCCGAAACTGGGTTCTTGTTAAGGAGTTTAAGAATTCATAATAGGCACTTCTTACTAAATAAAACCGCAACCTAATACCGTAGTTTCAGCTATCATAAGAGGGATCCATAGCAAATCATAGGGCTTCCTCATTAATTACGATAACTTCGTATTAGCTTGAGCTTCTGCAACAAGAGCCCCCGGGAAAGCCTTACAGTGAGTTGGAACATGCATTTAGGATGATTAGTGCTGGGATTCCCTAACTATAATAACCTTAAGGGCATGAGGGTAAACCCTAGACCCTAAACCCTAAACCCTGAACCCTAAACCCTGAACCCTAAACCCTAAACCCTAAACCCTAAACCCTAAACCCTAAACCCTAATCCAACTTTCTGGCTTCTACAGTATCAGGATCCTGGCCTTGCTAGGGCTTGCTGCATCAAGCTCGGGCCAGACCTTGGGTTAGGGTTTAGGGTTTAGGGTTTAGGGTTTAGGGTTGAGGGTTTTGGGTTTAGGGTTTAGGGTTTAGGGTTCAGGGTTTAGGGTTTAGGGCTTGCTGTGGGGTCGTGTCAGGCTTTCGGATTGTGGGTTCGGGGTAGTGTGGGTTTAGGGGTTTTGGTTTAGGGTTTAAGATTTAGGGTGTAGGGTTCAGGGCACTTTGGGTTTAGCGGTTTTGGCGATGAGGTTTTAAGGGTGCGGGCTTAGGGTTTAGGGCGGGTTAGGGCTCAAGGCTCCGGGGTTGCCATGGAGGGTAACCAATGCATGGCGTTCGCAGCGCCTTTAATCGTAGTGCTCCTCACTCTTACTCCGGGTTCAAAGCGGCGACTAGACACGACCGGAACCTGAAGAACCTAAGCCCTGAGTCTAGGGTTTAGGGTTTAGGGTTTAGGGTTTAGGGTTTAGGGTTTAGGGTTCAGGGTTTAGGGTTTAGGGTTTAGGTAGAACCTAGATCCGTGAAACTGCTGAATTCGCTGTTCGTCTGCCATG